TTATTCAAAAATTACTAAATCACAATCTTGTTCAAACAAAAGGTTGGAATAGCACTTAAACCAAAAACTCCAGTTGATGTAGTTGCAGAATATATTGATTTAGCTGACATGATATTAGTTATGACTGTAGAACCAGGTTTTGGTGGACAAAATTTCATGGAACCAATGATGGAAAAAGTATCATGGTTAAGAAAAAATTACCCTACATTAGATATAGAAGTAGATGGGGGTGTTGGACCAGCTACTATTGATACATGTGCAAAGGTTTGTATTTGAATTTAATTTCATAGTATCATAAAATAAACAAAACAATTTAAATAGACATATTTTTTAGGCTGGTGCAAATATGATTGTTTCTGGAACAGCAGTCATAGGTTCTTCTGATCAAGCAAAAGTTATCAAAACTTTGAGAGATACTGTAAATTGTGTATTACAAAACAGTTGAAAATAGGAAAAAAGTCTGCCAAGTATCAAATAGATATATTATAGATACATTGTAAATTAATTAAGGAATATGGTATTTTGTATACAACTTTTACAAAAATAAGGAAATAAAAGGGCAAAATTTTCTAGGTTTTAATGTAATTACTTACATTTGTCCACACAGATAGTTTCATTATTTACAAAACTGTTAAACTGAGCACTTGGCAATGGTAGAACTTTAGGAGATAATTTTGTTCTTAATTCTGCTAAAGTAATTAGAATAGCTTCCTCTGTTCTAATTGTTCTTGATCCTTGTTGAGGACAAGTATTCAAATATTTATCAAACACTAAAGAGGTGTCATCTAGATTTAAATTAGGGTCACTGTCTACTGCAGCCTCTAATCCTGATAATCCTCCAAATATTATTAAAGCATGATGGTATTCCATGCTTTTTGACTCTATTCCATCAATAGAGTTTCCTTTTTCTGAAGTACCAATTGTCAAATCATATCCATTTTTATAAGGACACTGTGTTAATGCTTCTGTAAGATTATTAGCCAACCTCACATTATATCCCCAATATATTCCAATATCTGATTTAGGAATATCAGGAGGTACAATAAATCCTTTTAATTTTTTTGGATTTGTTTGGCCTTCAGGTATTTTTACTGTAACTCTTAATCCACTAGTTAACACTTTATCCACACAGACATCGTTTAACAATCCCACATTCACATGAGAACCATTGCCAATTTTAACTGGTTTATTTGTAACTATTCCCTCTCTATATAGAGACACATCTTGTTGTCGCAAGTGATGTGGGGCATCCAAAGGATTTAGTACTCCAGCATATTGCAAATCTTTATGAATTGGAAAAAAGAATTTCCTTAAATATTGTGGACATTCCAAATATTGTAATATTCTAGCCAATTGTAAACATCCGATTCGTCTTTCACCTAATGCTTCGTCATTTATTACTTTTCTCTTTTCATTTTCAAGTACTTCTCCTTTATCGTCAAAAACAATAATTTCATCTATCTTGTAAACACATGCTGCACGTGCTATTTGACCTGCCAGATACGTTCGTAACTCTGGAGACTGGGCATTGTCTAAAATTGAACCAGGAACTGCAATGCTCACAGTTGAAATGTCTTTTTTCTCAAAATGTTGCTTAACGGGTTTTTCTATTTCTTTCTGTAATTCTTTCTTAGCCTCTTCTTTCTTCAACTTTTTTGCTAACCTCTCTTCCCGCCATTTTTTCCGTTGTTCCTTAAGTAAACGATTGGTTTCCTTCCAATTTTTTGCCGCAGGAATTACTGGAGGCATAATTCTTCGATCTTTTCAAACCATTTGTTTAAATTTTTGTATATTTACAATTTTTCACAGCTATCTCTTTTAATTCTAATTGTTTCGTCCGAAGTATAGTAGAAATCTTATGTAACTAATGAAAGCAATTGATTCTGAATTCCTGTATGTAACCGTTTCATGTGACAGCAGTATTTATTTGGATCTACTCATTGAATTAAACATTATTTGAATTTCTGTAAAATTTATAACATTAATTCAAATTATGGCTGCAGAGGAGGGTTTTGAACAGGTTTTACAAAATTTGTTAAATTTAACGAATTTCAGTAATTAATATTATTTTTTACGTAAAATATTTAACCTTAATCATACTTTCTCAAAACACGTTTGAAATTAATTTATATCAATATACGTTCTTCAAATGTTGACAAATTTTAATAAAGCAAGTTATCAGTGAAATTTATAAATAAAAAATTTAATTGTCACAGTTCGAAGATGAAGAGGCTGAAATTCCGATCGGTGGGACATTACCTGGTGGTAGGAAACGTTTATTTTCGAAGGAATTACGCTGTATGATGTATGGTTTTGGTGATGATCAAAATCCTTACACAGAAAGTGTGGATTTATTAGAAGATCTTGTTATTGAATTCATTACCGAAATGACACACAGAGCTATGGAAATTGGCCGTACTGGTCGTGTCCAAGTAGAGGATATTGTATTTTTAGGTAATGTAATATAAATATTAATACATTTGTTAACATGGTTTATATTGTTGGTTTGTATTCTTACATTTAATTTCTAATCCTAAGTAATAGTAATATAAATTTTCAATTGATTTTCTTTAGTGTATGCAAAATTATATCTTATTAAAATTTAATTTCATAGAAATCTTGTTTTGCAGTTAGAAAAGATCCAAGAAAATATGCAAGAGTAAAAGATCTCCTGACAATGAATGAAGAACTAAAGAAAGCTAGAAAAGCATTCGATGAAGTTAAATATGCAGGTACTGTTAGTCAGTAAATTTCATTTGACATTCTGTCAATATTTAAGCATATATCAAATAATTTTTATTGTGCTAGAACTTATTATTTTATTAGATAAACATATTGATTTCTTTATTGTTTTTTTATTTATTATTTGCAAGCTTATTTCTTAAAAAGAACAATCAATGTTATGATTTGAGAAAAATACAAATAGAGTTTGTCTGAGTGTAAATGATCTATTTAGTGTTTTGAACTGTTTTATTAGATTATTTGCAATACTATTGTTAAAAATTAGTATTGCGTCATAGTAGTTGCACATTTTTTATTTATTTACAAGTATGGAATGCTATATGCTTGCGTGCTGCATCTTTATGATACTTCATGCTTGCTTATCTACATAATTTAGATACATATGGAAGATTATGATGTATTTAAGATTACTTAATCCTTTTTATTATATAAAAAGAGTACTGAATATTAGTACTTAGTTGTATTGTAGAATAGTAATTATTCCATGAAGAATATTTTATTCTCTTTGTTTTGTAGTATTTGTAGTATTGTATTTATGTATATAAAAACAGAATATAAAACAAAACTTTGTTTTATTTTACAAAATAGGTTACAGTTTTATATTGTACATAATAAAAATACAAATATATATATTTTACTTTAATAACTATTTCAGTAACTCGAAATAATTAAACTAATTATTTAAGAAACCCTGATTTGCAATAATTATTGTATATAGTTATTAATACAAAACATTATTTTATTTATTTTTTATACCATTACTCATTACACAGTTTTAACATTAAATATTTGTAAAATATCGAAATATTTATCGAAAAGTTTAATATTTCTATTTAACTATAATTTTTCTTTTCATTTTTATTATGCAGCATGAACAAACAGTGAACAGTGCATGTTTCAGTTTAGGCTGAATTGTAATTTATATTTTAAAAAGTTATTTTGGCTTATTAGCTATTATTACATTAGTTTTTGCATGTATATTATTTCATATTTAAATTAAAGAAGAGCATTATAGTGTTTGCTTGGCCAAGCTTCATTGGAATTTGAATTTTATAAAACTATAGCATATGTTGATTGATATTAGAAACAGCCTCTTTTGCTGACAGAATAACATCAGAGACACCTACACCGTGGTATGAAGAGCCACACAGCCCTAAAGGAATTTTATGCTCAGAGATATAATCGTGGATACGGGTTAAACGTTGTGCGTGACCTATTACATATTGTGGAATACAGTCCTTCAGAATGGAAACATTACATGCTCTGGGATCTTCGTTAATGCATAAAATTTCATTCACATATTTAAGTGCTGTAGTTCTTAAATGTTCTTCTGATGAGCAGTTACCAAAATATTTTTCAAACCATGCCCCACCCATCATTACTGTCAGTACCTGGATTTAAAAAATTGTATATATTCAATATAAAGAAGTGTTTCTAGTCCATCATATATTTGTAAAGAATTGTAAAGACATTAAGGATAATTTTGTGTCATTGTAAGACTAAATTTTTTTAAATTTAGCATAAAAGAGATTAAATTAGAACAAGTAATGTTAAAATTGTAACAATGAATCAAATATCACACCCAAAATTGGAATTTCTTCCTTTGGTGGAATAAGAACTCCAAAAGCATCCACAGGTAAAACATTTTCAGAAAATTGAAGATTAATTACAGCTACTGTTACAGTAGGTATACTGTGTAGTTCTTTAGATAATTCTGGATGTTGTTTTTCTACTAGATTAGCTAAACTTTTTGCAGGCAAACCTGATATAACATGAGAATACTTTTCACTTGTTCCATTTACAATCAATTCTACACTATTTTTATTAAAAATAAGTTGTTCACAATGATGTTTCATCTTTATATTTACTCCACGTTTAATTATATTTTCAGCTAGTGTTTGAGGTAGTTGTTCAAAACCTCCTTGGAGTCCCCATATACGCCATAATTCTCTTTTAGCCCTTTCTACTAAATGTGAAGGCATGCTATGTGATTTAATTACTGTCTGAGTATCATTTGGAATTTCTGATTTAATTGCTTTTCCTTTTTTAACTTTTAACATAGTTAAAAATTTTTGTTTCACAAGACCCTTAACTACAGAACCATAGTTTTGTTCAGCCTCGAACAGACTTGTCATAAAAGATTTTGCACTTAATTTCTGTACATCACCGGCACAAATTCCACACAACATTGGAGCAACCAGTTTTTCAGATACATCTTTCCCAAATCTTCTTTTTACAAAACTATATATACTTTCATCATCTTTAGAAACTTTTACTGCTATCAAATCATTCCATATAACACTACTAAAGGAACGATTTAACAATGTATTTTTTGTTACCATTCCTTTCAAGGTGTTAGGTAAACAATGTAATGCATTATCTGCATAAATATATCGGTTTTTACCTGCAGGGTGGTTAAACTTAATAGGAACAAGTTTAGATGATAATTCTAATTCCTCAATTAAGTCCAATAAATTATGTGAGCTGGCTCTAATAACTCTTGGACCTTTCTCAAAAATTGTTCCATCAGGTTGTTTTATGGAGCGTATCCAACCACCTAGACGATTTGAAGCTTCGAATATAACTAATGGCCCTATTTTTGGATTTTCAAGAGCATAATATGCAGCTGATAAACCTGATATACCAGCACCTAGTATTGCTGTCATTTTTAATTATGTCAATATATAACTATATTACTAAATATTAATTTTTATTATGGATATACATTCATAAATTATTAAATATAACAAAGTGATTTTTTTGATATAAGAATCTTTTACTGCACTATTTATTTTAGCCTATTTTTGCTAAGATTATCTTTTATTAACTTACATACAAAAAGTAACCAGCCATATAACTAAAAATGTATTGTCAATGTTATATAAATTTTGCTGTTTAGTAGATTAAGTATACATACGAGCGCGTTTCGTAGTACGTAATACAAGAAAAGATAGGTTATATTTCTGTAGAAATAAACGAAATCATTGTATGTACATATGTATGTAAAGTAGAAATTTCTATATAGCGTAAAAGAGTGATACTTTCTATTTAAAAATAAAAAATAGTGTTAATTAATATTTAACTTTTGCGCTAACATATTTTTATCTTTAGTGCTTTCTTAAGTGTATATTATTCATTTATATCTAGTCAATGGATCGAATTATAATATGTAATATAAACAGCTCTTTTTCGAAATATTTTAAACATTGCTTAAAAATTTGATAGAATGAAACAATGACGATACACTTAATTTAATACCATTGTATTTGAAATATTTAATTGTATAATGTCTTATTATATGTCATTGACATATTGAATGCAATAGGATAAAAATGGAAATGTCTGCTTACGTCATTTGCAGATTATAATGCATGAATGATAATTTTCTCACTAAAATACGTTAACTTTGAGTTGTGAACAGGTTTGCAGTGACTATTATACTTTATATGCAAGATATTATGTTAAACCAATATTCTATAATTATATAATAGAATTTACACGGATTCCCGCCAAATCATTCTTTAATACATTCGGTGTAACGTACGTTCTTTCATTTTTCTAAGGTATTTCTTTTAAATATTTTTCTGGTTTTTGTACAATGTTTTTAATTTTTAACGAATTATCAATATTGTAATTATTAGAATTTGGGACATCATTAATTATTACAATGAAAGACGGCAGCAGATTGTTGTCAATCCTTCTGAAAGTTTCAGAGAAAGCAGCAAATATTGCAAGAGTTTGCAGGCACAATGATGCATTATTTAAATTACTTGTACAAGAAAAATCAGAAGAAGAAAAAAATTCACGCTTCTTCCAAGACTTTAAAACCTTGGCAGATGTTCTTATACAAGAAACAATCAAACATGACATAGGATTAGAGGTAAGTGAATGGAAAATGCTATTAATTTACATTTTGTATTTTACTTTAATGAAAAATACTAATTTATTAATAGTATATTAGTTGAAACATAGAATGAACAATATAGAATTTTTTAAAGAAATTGCATTATATGGATATTTTGAAAAAGAGAAACATGAAATAAATGGATTAAACATAAGAAATAAACATAAGTTACATAAAATATCACTTATAGAGATTTAGTTTCCAGAATTGTCTAAGGTAGTGCAGGGAGAAGAAAATAACACATTTAGCAATGCTATGGGTGAATCTATAGTAGTTGAAGTATGTTCTACTATTGAAGAAACAACTCAATTATTAGCTAAGGTAATGAGCAATGACAGTGCAACTGCAGAGTTTTTGGCTACAGAAGTTCATAAGGATGTTCAATTCTCAGACATTCCAATTGTAGCTGAGCTACCACTTGATTTTGATATTAACATATATGATCTTGGTATATGGATTGATCCAATTGGTAAGAACAACAATAGTATAATTTAAGTGCCTTAAAGTAAAGATTTTATATATGTACATATAACAGATAAAACATATATTGACCCTACTATTTGTATTAAAACAATGTCTGGGAAATGTATGTGGTAAATATCTATGTTTTTATATACTTTATTCTTTATTATTTTGAGTGTTATGTAAAGTAATGGTAAATTTGATTTAATTATTGTGTTTCTTCTACCTTTAAAATTTCTTTCTTTTTGTTTTATATTGTATATTATATTGTATTTTTATTTTTCATTATATATTTTTTCATTCTTTTTTATATACATTTGAATGGTACTTTTTTATGTCATTATGTAGAATTAGGCAGATTATTTGTCAAATCATGTATTTATTTTGTAGTTTAATAAAACATGCCTGAGGAGCAATTCGTGGAACTTTTGTAGATTCAACTGCAGATTATATAAATGGAGAGGAAAAGGTGGATGATGCCACTGGTGTGCATTTAAGTGGTTTACAGTGTGTCACTGTCTTAATTGGAGTGTACTTGAAAAGTACAGGTATACCAGTTGTGGGAGTAATTAACCAACCTTTTTATACAAATGTGGATTCACAGTATGTAAAATGAAATGTGTGTAATTTATATTTTGTAAGATATAAATATTTAAACGAATTTCATAATTTATTGTGTAGGTGGAAAGGAAACTGTTACTGGGGATTTCTAGAAAACGATGTTGGAAAATGTTCCATAGTGAAAGAACCTAACAATAAAAGGATAATTGTTCTTAGTAGAGTAGAAGATGATAATGTGAAATCTAAGTTATTAAATGCTGGTTTCACTTTAGTGGAAGCAGCTGGGGCCGGTTATAAAATATTAAACGTCGCTCTCGGGCAAGCTGATGCCTATATTTTATCCAAAGGTTCCACATATAAGTGGGATACTTGTGGCCCTCAAGCACTTATACGTTCTTTAGGTGGAGGCATCATTGAATTTCAAAGTTTTATAGATAATCCTGATTCAAATTATACAGATGTAAAATATTTATCTACAACTAATAATTTTTCAAATAGCAATGGCTTGGTGGCATATCGAAATTTTGAAACTTTGCAAATTTTAAAATCAATTTTGTGTGAATAGTGTACTTTTAACAATAGCATATGTAGCATCATGTTACATATTTATTTTAAATGTTTAGAAAATAACTAGTGGTGGTGTTTTATGTGTCTTAAGAAATATTTGGTCTCATTGTATTTACTGTATTTTACTTTGTACCATTTCAAATCCCTTTAATTCTTAATTTTCTCATTATTTTATTGTATTACAAAAATGTTTAATGATGACTTAATTGCTAGAGATAGAAGGTTTTTAAAGCTTCAAAGTATTGAATACATTTATCATACTTAATAT